GCCTCGTACACTGCCCCCCCCCCCCGCAGATATTAGGGGGTGGGGCCGCATATACAGGACTGCCAAACGTCTTCCAAGGGCAGTGTGGCCACATCACCGATGCTTTCCAAAAGTAGCTTCAACAGGAGCGTCGCACTCGTAACAACTTTCACTGTCCGTGTCTAGTTATTGCCATGCTGACCCCACAAAGTGAATGGAATAATGAAGGTAATGACGCTCGCACTCTGAAATGTCGTGGGGGTCAAACAAATTCCCACAGGCATAGAACAGTGTTCAAAGTGGCTGTCCAGTGTTGAGAATGCTGTCTTTGGCTGGTCCTCTTCAGTATGAAGTACCTGGTGAAATCCTGAAGCAAGATCAGCGGTTGTAAAATAACATGCTTTTCCTAATACAAGTTTCCTAACAAGTTTGGTGAGAGGTCATGCTGTTACAGCTGGACAAGTTCGTAAGCTTCGAAGCATTCACAGAAAATTTCTTCAGCATTTTCTTATCCCTATCGACTGGCTGGTTTAATCAATTCCGTTGCTTTCGAAATACTGCAGTATGTTCACTTCATGGTTTCCAGTCGGTTATCCAAATCATGCTGACTCATGCTGAACCTATTACGGCAGTCTGTAGGTTGAAGTAGGTGAATTACTCTTAAATATGCTTCTGCAATTTATTAAGTAGTTATTGTTTCTTCACCTGCTTGTACAAAGAGAGAAGTATCCCATGTCACCAATGAAATTTTTCATGTACATACATGTGTAACTATATTCTTACTTCCCTTTCCTTTCCCTGTTCTGATGGGTGGAAATTTAGCACTTAGGTACAAAAGTGTTAACCTTTAAACGACTAAAGACAACGTATGTCGTCGTTAAAAGGTTAATGAACAAGGTTTGCCTTATAAATAGTGCAATATGGACTGGCTGTTGTGATGTAACAGGAGTACCCTGCTGTGCAGAACTGTAGTCTCTGGCTTTGGTCTTGTCTAGGTGTGGAGGTCCATCGCTATACTGCCTTTGGCTCATTAGCTGCAGCGACTGGTTTCTTGTACTTATCGGCAGCCCTCAGGCGGCAACTGTTGCTATGCTCTGGAGGTTGCAGATGCCTTGAGCGATGTTTTGTATGATCCCATGGGAGTACAGGTATCTCACTGACCAGGCACAAGGAGGACGGAGGCTGGAGCTGAAGTAACCCAGCTGGCTCGTCACAAGGCCTGTGCAGCGCCCTCCTGCTGGAGGCTAATGTTGTATAGCCATTGTCTGCTCCCTGGTCCTTCATAGTGAAACAGGCTCCTGGCAAGCCTGGGAGATGATGTAACGATGTCCTGGATGGACCCTCCAAGTTGACTTTGTAGTATGTTGAAGTTCAAATTGCTGAAGATAGTCTATGGCAGAGAGTTTTTGAAGTCTTATGAAAACTCTTCACGACACCACACCTGACACTAGGTTTTTTAGTTGTATCCTGCGCATCTGAGGGTTGGATCCTGAGGGTATGGGAGGATGTTCGACATAGCCAGGCAGAGGCTTGGCCCGCCCAAGATCCGAATGGGTGGCATCAGGGAGTGAAAGCTCATTACAGTGCTTTGGCCAGGATGTGTATATAAATTTATTGACTTCAGACAATTAGACAAGTTACAAATTGGTTATGTATGCCAGACCAGAGCACAGTTGAGAATGTCCAAGTTCCTTCTGAAGAGCAGACCAACAGAAAAACTACCCTTAACTGTATTTGCGAAAGGTATCCCTTCCCTCCCCCCATGGTTCGCATTCAGTGCCAGGTTTACAAGACCCCATGCACAGAGGAGGATGACACTGTGTGCAGCTGTTCCTAAGATCTGTACGCTTCATTATGGTTATGAATTCCATCATAAGTCTTGCCGACACTCGGACAGCACAGGGTGCAGTCGCAGATCTGAGGTTCATCTCTGAACCCTGCACCTCTGATATACAACTGTGCAGGTGTTCTGTCTATGACTGCCAGATACATAAAGTTACCAATGAAATATGACAACCCAGAAGGGGAGTCTTAAGATTCCTTACTCAGTCTCATGTTAACTACAATTCTCTACGAATATGACACATGATAATGAAAGGTTTCATCTAAAAGTTGCATGAAATAAGGGAGTTTTTGGTTCATGTAGCCATCCTGGATATTACAAGTGTACTTCCATTGTGCTCTAGACCTGTCCAATGAGACTGCCAGATACACAGATTTACAAAGAGGGAAGGTGGTGAACCGCTTTTCCTAACACTTGAATGTATGAGTGGTAGGCCTTCTCGGCCTTTGCACTTAACAATTGGAATCAGCTTTTATAAGTTGTTAAGAACGATTGAACGAACTCTTGCACCTTAGACACACTGCCAACAGAGGGTGGTGAACCGCTTGTCCTCACACTTGAATGAATGTGTGATAGGCCTTCTCGGCCCTTGCACTGCGACCAATATTGGGCTATTGTGCTTTTGTCCTAACACTTAATTCAAAGCGAAAGAGTGGAGGTTGAAAATGAGATTAACGAATTTTGTTAGGAATGAAATTATTCATTATTAAATTACATTATTAATAGGTCCGTGAAACACTTAGAAATTCACAATAAATGAACTGTGCATCGGATCCATGGTAATTCTTAAGCCAATTAAAAATTTATCTTCCATGATCTTTTACGGTGATCTATCTCATGGATGTCTATCATATCAGGGTATCTATGGTATAGTTCTTTTATTTTACATTTCCGAAATGTTGCATGGGACGTGTAAATAATCCTGTATTGCAGTAATTCATGTTTGTGACATTATATGTTGCAAAACCCGGAATAATTAACCCTTTCTGCCTGAGTGATTCCAATTGGAATCGCTAACTCTCTTGGCTTTTGAAGCTCATATTACGCGGCAAATGATTCTGGTTGGCATCATACGTTATAGTTCTGTTCTTTGCCGACAGTTCGGAGCAGTTCTTTGATCGGTCGCTATCAATTGTTCATTCACATGCTTCTAATCGCTCCGGACTACTCTGTGCCTTCTGTTCAGCTCATGTAGCAGAGGAAACGAGTTGATGGTGTGTTAAATTCTTTATTGTGATATAATGGGTAACACAACTGCTTGCAGTTATCACTGTAATAGATGTTTTTTGTAAGCATGGACATTGCTGCCTTGCAAAAGGCACACTTGTCCACTTGTTTCTACTAGTTCCTGCATACAAGAGTTGCGAATTTCAATCCGTATTTTATAAGTTTGGAAGGGATGGTGATAATTTGGTATGATTGGGTGCAACAACCCTGGCCATGTTCATTGGTAGGTAAATTAACATAGAGAAGAGAATTAATAAATGTGGATGCTTTTCATTGTTGGAAGGGACTGGATTACAGTAACAATTCTTCTTTCATGTAAGGTTTGTTTCCATCGTCTCTGGTGGAATGGGTAAGCAGTGGGTGCTGGCACATGGCTTAGTTGGAACAGATGCATATCCTGTGGTGAGGGCTTTATTGGACAGATTTACAAGCAGAGAATTCACAAGTTTCTGTTCACATCTGTTTCATACCATGATGTTTAGTACTTGTGTGCTGTAATTATGAAAAAATTGGGTAATTTGTGAGAGATTTTATTTAAAAGATATTTTTGTTAACGTTTTTGATACTGCACAATAACTTATTCTCTGTATTCATACTCAAAACTGTGCAGATGTGCTTCCTGAATCTTATGTTGTCAGGTCAAGATATTGTAAGCAACTTATTTAACAGTATTCTGTTTCTTCCGGGCTAATTAATATCGATGAACTACGGTCTTGTCACTATGAAACTGAAAAATAAAGAGCACCTACCCAAAGGTTCTTGCTTTTACTGGACCTGCAGTTGTTGTGTGTCTAGGATATGGCATGCTTGATGGCTTGGTATTTCATTTGTTTCAGGAGAATCTGGAATGAAAATAAAAGAAAATAGAGCAAAATGATTACAGGTACCATATGTTACAAGCAAATGAATAAGCAAACAATCCACATACCTCCCAGGTTGGCCATTCTCATCTGGCGAATTTTCCGCTCAGCACTTCCACCGGTTGGGATTCCTTGGCTGTGTGCACATGACAAAAGCATGGCTGCCTCCATGCTCTCTGCCAGTGTTTACTCCATGCAACAATACACTCTTAGCTAGGAACTGAGCCAAGGGTCATGAGTCTATACTTGCCGCCTTGTACGCCACCCTAACCAAAGTCAATGTATGCAGTTATACAACATTGTAAAAGGAACCTGTCATACAATTGTAGTATTACATTGTGATCCCACATACTATCACGCTATTTCTACAGCGCTCACTTTTCACCATCATGCGCGCTAACCAATCAAATTGCTTCAAACACTCACATTTATACTGCACTCACTGTCTAGTCATTACGTGGGCTAGCCAATCAGCGCTCAGCAGATTTTTGCTCCTCCATCACACTTTGTATAAAAAGGCGCAGCTCCAACACAGCAGCACTGGCACGCATTCAGTCAACATCAAGCAGCCAGCCTGCACACTTCGCCCAGTCTTCGGAGGCATCGGCACTTGGCTGCGCCAGGCACAACTGCCTCAGCTGTCCAGCGGTCACACCCGACTCACTAGGCAACTCGGCCGCCTCGATTAGCCCGCTGTCATGCCCAACTCACTGGGCAACTGGCATAGCTACTGCCTCTCCACTCCTGCAACCGCGCTCCACAAGCAAACGTTTTCCAGCAACTGCTGCACTGTGGCTAGGCAACCAACTCAGCTGCCGCAACAGCATTAGTCCACGCACCGCAACCAACATCTCTCTTTTCCGGTGTACATAGCACTACTTCACCTGCCAAACATCCCAGCAGCCAGCAGTCCTTTTCAGGACCTACAAACTTTTCCGAAGAAGTGGGTTGTCATTGGAGTATCCCCACAGTGCTTTAAGAGCTGAAACCTAAATGTAAGGATCTGTTGGACATCGTCCCATACCATGTTACACAAATGAAGTCTCTTTGGCCATCCTTGTACGTAATTTTTTCGCTCACCTGAGTGATCTGCTTGGAAACCGGAATAGTGTGTTTCCTTTGGCTCATCCATAAATACCTTTAGTCCCTGTAAAACATGTGTAACAGAATTTTTGATTTGGTGATTATGCCCCAAATTCAACTGAATGCCTTCACAAGATGGACATTAATTGATATGTCACACACCCTGTGTGATTTTGCATGTTTCACATTTGCTGAAAGTGTCACATGAGCCTGTGGTTTGGCTATGTCCAGGTCATACGTTTGAAAGTGACAGTTCTTGAACAGTTACTGTGCAGTTTTCTCTATGGCTAAGTAATTTTTTTCCCCCCCAAAAATTCTGGAAATTTATATTATATTTCTAATCTTAATATTTGGATAGTGTGTTAGAATTAAAAGGCAACAGCAAACTGCCAAAGTATGCCCATGAACACCTGTGAGTACACTTTTCATATCAAGAGGAAGCGTGTTTAGTCCTCCTTTAGACCATATAAAGTATGATTGTTTTAAAGCTTGCCATAAAGTAAAAATAAGTCATTTGCATGCTGTGAGTATAGTTGCAGTCCTGCAGCAAATGGTGCGGCTGGCTTTAAGTGTAATCATCCTTTCACCTTGAACGGCTAAGGTTATGTGTACATGTACTGTGATTTTCTGCGGAACATACTAAAACTATTTGGGTCACTTTTGTTGTGTGATTTCAAATTTTGGGTCATGGACAAAAAGGTCAGGAACCACCAATGTAGGTAGCATACTTTGTGTGCTGTTTATATAAGTAGAAGACTGGAAATGACCAGTTTTGCCTGTACTTTCAGCTTGGCAAATGTTGCAAGTAATAATAATTGACATGGGGAGAAATGGGCCCCCAAACACTACACCACACAGCTTAAGTACAGTGATCAATCATGCTGTTTATAAAATTAATGTTTGTTCAACCTAGCAGTGTTATGATTCTACAGCTCTGCTTGGTTTTTCAGATGCAAAAGGAGGAACGAATCTTGTTAGATTGGTAAGATACAATGAGAGAGTGGTAGAGTTAGTATGTATGTAAACTGATATTAATAATTCATGTTTAATTGTTGTATTTAAGCATCCTGTTGCATTACTATAACTTTCACACACAATAATAGAGTTCCGTCAACAACGCAACTATTTTTATTCTCTTCCTCTCACTTTCCCTTTCAGAACATGTTCCAACCCCAACCAGTCATCATAAAGTGTCTTTAATTCTCCAAAACTGTTGCACTGTATTGAATGTCACTCATTCACTTCACATGTATCTGCAGTATTTCATGATTTTAAATGTTGTAATCACAATCTGGCTAACATTAGTTGAATTACCATACACTGTAATTACTTTCTATTAAAATTCATTACATTCCCCCCCCCCAAAAAAAATTCTTTTTTACACCTCACTAGGGCATCGCCCACTTGTCCAGACAGTACATTTCGATCCACCATACATTGGTGGAGAGAGCGATATACAAACAAGGGGCAAAACATAACCACAACGGTATAAATATCCAAGGCAAGAGATCAAAATAATACTGTCAGGACAAGTGGATGATGCCTAGTGAGGTGGAAAAAAGAAAAAAATGAATTTTATCAGAAAGTAATTACAGCATATGGTAACTTAGCTAATGCTAGTCAGATTGTGATTACAACATTTAAAATCACTAAATATTGCAGTTACATGGGAAGTGAATGATAACATTCAATAGAGTATATACAGAGTTTGGCAAATCACCTGATGATGGCCAGTTGGGCCAAAAACGTGTTGTGAGAGGGAGAGAATGAAAACAGTTGCATCGTTGATGGAACTGTATGATTGTGTGTGACAATTCACTTTTAAGTTAATTTGTTTGCTTCTGTTATTCTTGTGTAATATGTGGAAGGACTTCATTGACTTGAGAGCTACTGTGTATGGAACAGTATTTGTAACAAGTCTGTTCAGAGTCTCTGGTCTGAAAATCTGTTGGCTTCATACTGGATCTGTAAAGTTAATCAGAATGTTTTGTGTTGCCTTATAGTTAATTTTATTTCATAGGACTGTTTTAAGTATTTTTTATTAACACATAATACAGTTAAATATTTTATTAAATTCAAGGTTGCCTAAGCAGGCCTAATTATTTAATATGCTTGTATTTTTTCAGCAGAAAATTAACTTGATGGTATGTAGTCCATTGCACAATAAAGGCTTGTAGGGGAATGTTGTTTGTGATTAATGTTACCCCTTATCAGACTGGCGTGATTTAGGAAGTTGTCTCTCAAATACCCCATTTAATGCTTTTACTATTGTGCTTGAGGTTAGAGTGGAAAGTGCATAAGAGTTGGGATTATTCACAGAAAAGTGAGCACTTAATAAAAGAAAACTTATCACTGCCACCAAGAAGAACCAGATATTGATATTGCAGAATTTGGTTACTGAGGTGGTCCAAGATACAGGCAAAAATCGAACATCACTGGCATCTCTGATGAAAAGCCAGAAATTCATGAAAATGATTCCTTGAACTGAGCCATCCAACCAGTGTGTGGAACTCTTCTATTTGCTGAAGCCAATGGTAATCATGTCAGGTAGTCACATGACACGTCCTTCATTTTTCTCCTGCATTCCTCCATCTTTCATCTTACACCTGTCTCCAGACCATTCATTGCCACATTTTCCTCAGGCTCCCAGTAGGTATTCATGACTTATTTGTGTGTGTCTGGGAATACTTCATGCTCAGTGGAGTGGAATGTATGCTGTATCCTGGTGTTTCTGTTGGCTGTGTAACAGCTGTCTCATGTGGTAATTATGTTTCTCAGAAGATTCATTCATGATAGCTTTGCAGATGCAGTAACAGCATATTTCATATTTTATGGAACATAGATTCCATGTTAAGTGGGTCCCTTGTCACCGCAGCATGACACGTCCTCAGGTTGCGGGATAGAGGAGACGCCCTCCAGGTATGGAGGGTAGCTGTGAATATATTGAATAAGCAGTCATGGGCAGCCGACAGGGGGTGGTCCTCCAGCTTGGGGATTGGGCATGGGGCTAACAACTCCTCACCATAAAGAATGTTTGTTACGAAAATTTGCAAGAAGCCTTGGACCTGGATGGATTCCTTGGAAAAAAAACCTGAGTGAAAGAAAATGGTTATAAGATTTGCTACATGGAATGTTAGGCATATGTATAGGGCAGGTTCACTCAGGACAGTGGCGTAAGAAGTCTCAGAATTTAAGTTAGGTTTAGTGGGAGTACAGGAGGTCAGATGGGATGGAGGTGGCACCGAACCAGCAGATGAATGTACATTTTTCTGTGGAAAGGGGAATGAGAACCACGAATTAAGTACAGGCTTTTTTGTACAGAAGGGAATCATCTCAGTAGTTAAGAGGGTAGAGTTCGTTAGTGATAGGATGTCATGCCTAATACTAAGAGGTTGCTTGTGTGACATCGTTATGCATGTTTATGTTCCAACTGAAGATAAAATTGGTGGTATAAAGAACAGGTTTTACAAAGAACTAGATCGTATTTGATAAATTCCCGAAATTCCATATGAAAATTTTGTTAGGAGATTTCACTGCCAAAGTATATAGGGAAGATATTTTCAAACTAGTGATTCGGAATGAGAGTTTGCACGAAATTAGTAATGATAATGGAGTTAATCAAAAAATCTTACAGTCAAAAGTACAATGTTCCCACATCGTAACATTAATAAATTTACATGGACATCCCCTGATAGGAAGATGCACAACCAGATTGACCATAGTTTGATATATCGGGGACAGCATTCAAGTATACTTGATGTCCCATCACTCAGGGCAGCAGATTGTGATACTGACCACTTCCTGGTGGTGGCAAAGGTTAGGGAAAGACTGGCAGTGAGCAAACAAACAACACACGGAGTTCATATGGAGAGGTTCAATCTCAAATAGGTTTGCAGCTTTGGAAAACTTAAGACACTGAGGTGAATGTTAATAAAGCTTGGGAAACTATTAGAATATCAAAATTTCTACCAAAGAGAGTCTAGGTTATGAACTGAAGAAGCATGAGTCATGGTTTGAGGAAGGATGCTCAGAATTATTAGACCAAAGGAAACAAGCCAAATTGCAGTGGTTACAGGACACAAGCAAAATAAATGGAGATAATCTGAACTGAACAATATAAGACATGAAACCAAGCATTTCAGGAATAAAAAGAGGGAATATCTGAAAGACAAAATTGATGAGCTCGCAATGAACAGTAAGAACGAGAACATTAGAAACCTGTATAGAGGAATGAAAGACTTCAAGAAGGGTTACCATCATAGAAGTAACTTACTAAAGGATGAGAATGGTGATCTGCTTTCAGATTCCCACAACATTTTGAATAGGTGGAAGAACCACTCTCAGTTATTGAATGTACATAAGGTCAGTGATGTTAGGTAGATAGAAATACATTCTCATACAGCTAAGCTGATTAATAAGCTAATCCATAAGCTAATTAATTCTATTTGGAATAAGGGAAAATTGTCTGATCAGTGGAAGGAGTCTGTTATTGTACCAGTTCACAAGAAAGGTGATAAAACTGACTAGTAATTATCATGGGATATCACTGCTATCAATTTCATACAAAGCTTTATCCAATATTCTTCTCACAAGGTTAAGTCCATACATAGATGAAATTATTGGGAATCATTAGTGTGGGTTTTGACATAACAGATCAATTACTGATCAGATCTTTTCCATTTGTTAGATACTGAAGAAAAAATGGGAATACGATGAGACAATACATCAGCTATTTGTAGACTTCAAGAAAGTGTATGATTCAGTTAGGAGGGAAGTATTGTACAATATTCTGATAGAGTTTGGGGTACTGTTGAAACTATTTAGGCTGATTAAAATGCATTTAAACGAAGCATATGGTAAAGTCCATTGTTTAATAATTTCCCTATCCAGAATGTTCTAAAACAAGGAGATGCTTTATCACCACTGCTTTTCAACTTTGCTTTAGAATATGCCATTAGGAAGGTCCAAGAAAACCAGGTGGGACTGAAATTAAATGGGACACATCAGCTGTTAGTGTATGCTAATGATGTGATCCTAGTGGGTGTTAACATAGATACCATAAATAGAAAAACAAATTTTGATTGACACAAGTAAGGAGGTTGTTCTAGAAGTAAACACAAAGAAAACTAAGTATATGTTGCTATCTTGTCACCAAAATGCAGGGCAAAATCATGACATAAATGTAGGTCACAGATGTTTCAAATATGTGGCCCAGTTCAGATACGAGAGTTGGAACTTTAATAGTGGCAACACTGCTGTAGAGATGCCATGCAACGGAACCAAATAATGTCACTTATACCACACGTTAGTTACACCTGATTGAGGAGGAAACTAAGAGGAGATTGAACTTGGGTAATGCTTACTACCATCCAGTTGAGAACCTTTTGTTTTCTTGTCTGCTGTCTAAAATCATAAAAATTAGAATATACAAAACTATAATTTTGCCTGTGGTTCTGTATGTGTGTGAGATCTGGTCTCTGACCTAAAGGGAGGAACATATACTGAGGGTGTTTGAGAACAGGTTGCTGAGGAGAATAAGAGAAATGAAGTGATGGGGTTGGAGAAAACCGAATAATGAGGAGCTTCATAATGTGTAATCTTTCCCAAGTATAATTAGAATGATCAAGTCAAGGAGGATGAGGTAGGCAGGGCATGTAGCACGACTGTAGGGAGAGGAGGAATGCATATAGGATATTGGTGGGAAAGCAGGATGGAAAGACCAAGGCATATGTTGGTGGACAATATTAAAATGGATCTCAGAGATATAGGATGGGATAGTGTGGATTGGATTGATCTTGCTCAGGATAGGGACCAGTGGAGGGCTCTTGTAAGCACAGTAATGAACCTTCAGGTTCCATAAAATGCTGGGAAGTTCTTGAGTAGCTGCACAGTTGGCAGCTTCTCAAGAAGGGCTCAGCTTCATGAATGATGAATGATGGAACAAAGATTGAACTTTTGATCACCTCTGACAGGATGCATCCATTGTAAACACAAATCTTCTGATGATACAGAAGTTATAAAGTTTGTTGCACACTCTCATTATGCTCATAACTGATGTCATTATTGGTCTCTATTAATTTGAATTTTTTTTGGCTTGACATAATAAACACTTTCAAATAAAAACTGAAGTGCGAGTATTGAAGAATATCATATCTTTGAACAGAAATACACATTTTGCCATCCCAGTCATACTTGCTTGCTTCAGTTGCATACTTTTCACATGCTAAGCGTGGTAGTCTCCTCTCATGCCTATGCTGTATCATGTCTTCCTGTGGCACCTGCACTCACAAACGGCAGCTAGCTAACAGTGCCTGTGATATGCTTTCTGGCAGTGGCATGTGATACAAATCACTTCACCTCTCCTGTCAGTATGTGGAATACCAATGTACCACAAAACTAACACTTTTATTTTTCAGAGTGTGTGGCAAAGCTGACATTGTTATCATAGACACTTCATTGCTGGGTGTGATGATGCATGGTTATGTAGTAACCAGCAGTTCAAAGAAGCATTTTGCCTTCATCTTCAGGGTAGAAGAAAATGGAGGCAGAAGAATGCTCCTTTGACACGTTGGTAAATGATTGTATCACATTGCAGAAGCTAGTAATGCAGTAAACCCTCTCTAATCCAGACTAATTGGTGGGGGGTCATCTGGATTAAGTGATAACCTGGATTACTGAATCAAAAGATAGCCCTAAAAGTAAAAAGAAATCTTAAAAAATTGAAAATCTAATAATATACTAGGGAGTGCTGAAGAAAATAAATTATATATCACTGTAGCAAGTTCTTCCTATCAGAAGCTGAATCCAGGGTCTTCTTCATCGAGCTCAAGCCAGTCTTGGATATTTTCTTGCGTGGTTTCAGGCTCTCCAGCTGCCCTCAACACAGTTTGAAAGTCATCTTGCTGTAATTCTTGCTCCTAAATGCCATGTGTCTTTAAAGTATGTACTCAACTGTGAACAGAATTTTTTTATTTTTAATATTTTGATTAGTGTGGGTTTGCTGTATTTGTGTTTTACTGCTATGAGAATCTCATGTCTTACTTACCTGCCACAGTGTTCTGATTTCTGTTCAGGATTTTAGAAGGTACCACTTATACTAATACGGGAATAGTCCATCATCATACTCGTATCTGTAGTGGGGAAAATGATACTAGCCCCCAGTTGAGGAAAAGTTTCGACTGTCATGGGTAACCACATTGTCCAGAAATAAAGATTTTAAGTATGTCAGCAACATTGTAAGACAGGGTTGACAGGATTACTGAGTTTTTGGTCTTTATCCCTTATATGATATTGTAAGGAACACAGCATTTCAGAAACTGGATCTGCTTCTGGCCTCGGTGACTACACCAAACTTTCTAAAAGACCCAGCAGTAGATGCCTCCCACCTTCTCACATGGGTATCGAAATGGATCCAGTATCTGAAACGTATTCTTTAGAATACTGGATGATGGGCAAAGCTCCAAAACACAGTAATCATGTGTGCTATATGCCACCATTAGAAACCTTTAAAAGTGAGGGGAACATCGTATTTTTCAGGAATAGGGGATTTTAAGTGTCCCAGTTCTCTAGGGCTAGAAGGTATATTTTAGGTAGTAAAGGTATTATCATTGAAGAAATGGAAGGTTCAGCCAACTGGACATGTGCCTTGAAATGTACAGCCAGGAAAGAACTAGCAAGGGACTGTGTCAACTGTAACCCAGTTGCACACCCAGACTGGGAGCTGATGAATTTGCCACATGTCCTGAGATCAAGATCAGACCTCTGTGTACATTAATTACACAATGCTTGATTCTCTTAGAAGTGTACAGCGTGAGTATATTTGTGGAATACAGTCTTGTAGATTCATACTTCATGTGTTATTATTGTAGGCTGACTCTTAACATTTCACAGGAACATGCTGCCTGCATCTTCAGACAGTTCCATATCCTTCATGCAATGGAATTGTTCTGGACCCTGTGAAGGGCCATTAATTTGCTCTTACAGTTCCTCTTCACCGTTCCTATTGACCTTCACTGCACTCTTATCTCCTCTCCCCCTACCATGGGTCTGAGTACCTTCCTCGCAGCCTGCCTGTATATACATGATTGTATTCTCTACAAACTTTGACCCTGAATAATGAGGCAGGATGTTCCTCTAAACATTGGTATGCATCTGCAAGACTATGTGGTGTCTCAGCTCCAAAGACCACATTGAACACTCACCACTGTGAAAATCTGAAAATTTTTCTGTGGATATTATTACTCTAATTGCAGAGAGGGTCTGTTGGTTATGTATTTTCAGAATCAGTGGACAGATTCACAGTGTCACAATGCAGACATTTCTACATGTCCAGATTTTCTGCCAAAGGCATGTGTGTTTGGTTGCAACTCTGAGCACTTCAAGTTCTCTCACTTAATTTTAAATATTGCTTTAGCAATGGATCCCTTCTTCAGGGCTTCCAGAGCCTCTTTGTACTGGCTAAGAGTATATGTCTTGATGCCAAGATGCCCATAGTCCAGATACCTGCAAACAGGAGCACACATCACATCACTAACCACTCATCTCTGATAAAGAATGCATCCTTGAGATAATGAAAAACTGCTGTTTTTTTGGGATATGATGCTGTCTAGTCTAGTCTGAAGCTACCAGTATTTTAAAGGAACTAGCTGCCTGCATCTTCAGGATAGAAGAGTCTTCAACCTTTCAAGACATGGGCAGCAGTTTCCTCCAAAACACTGGCAACTTTCTACCAGATTATGTATCATGCCATGGAGGACAGTAGTCTTCATATTCAACACTGTGAGAACCTCAAATGTTGCATGAAAGTTCTAACTTCAGTGTTTACATTGTTTGTATAAATGAGAGAGTGAGTTTTCTTCATGGCTTTAAATCAACAAACAGAAATATTTTGCAGTATAAAATGAAGATTACTATAAGTTTAGTGGCTGTAGGGGAGTTTGCCAGGTACAACAGAACAAATGTTCCCCCCCCCCNTGATTTCAGGATGTAATGGGTAGAATAAATAATGTCACAGTGACTAAGACATGGGTTTGGATTGGTAATTGGATTTATGGGATACTTACAGGTCATAACTACAATTAATTGTTACACTATTGTTGCTTTACACAATGTACAATCACTCCACACTAATCTCTTCAGTCTGTGTGCACTAGTCTTCATGGGCTTATAACACGGAAACTATAACAGTCTTTTTTCCTCTTTGAAGGGGGCTGACGCCTCCACAAGGTCCAGTTCCTCATTTTCCATAACCCTCTGGACATCCCAGTTGCTTACTTTATGAACTCCAGTTCCAAAGCCTTCCTGTCGAATTCGCTGGTTGTCCTCTCACTTCCAAGCCGTAGCTGGCCGTAGCTGCTCCTCGAGGTCTCGGTTCCTGGTTCCATTGGGGCTTTCCTAGCGCATCATTTGTCTCCTTCCAAGTGTCCATCCTTTCCTCTTGCAAATTTATTCCTGATCTGATTCTTTCTCAATCCCTGTTTGACCGATGGTCCTTCATGACTACGTCCCTGAATCCCACAGCCTTCGCGCTGTACCACTTATGCACAATGGGTCATCTTCCTGCTGGCTGCGGCCAATTCCTTTCGCAGTCCACAATTTCCATGCGTCCGAAATTTTCTGAAGACATTTCCCTTGTTCTGTGCCATTGCTGTACGACAGAACACCTTCCTGCAGGCAGTAGCCAGCTTCCTCCAGCATCCACGATCTCCTCGGATCAGTTCCTTTGGCTCTCCGCATCACCCTGCAGCTAGATGCCGGCCTCTGTGTCACTTCTTCATTGTTCCCATAGATTTCATTGCAGCCTCTTCTGTAGGGATGTTCCACATTGGATTACATTTCCTCTGGACTTTCCTTCAAATCCGTGGCTTCCATCTTTTCCAAGATGGCTATCACATGATCAGTCGACTCCATCTTCTCTGAATTGGCCTTCATCACTTCTTGGCAGTCCATTGTCTCTTTTTGATCCTTCTTCATGTCTGCTATCGAGGCATCAACTATGGATCTCATTTCCACATTCCCAGATTTGATTTTTTGCTCATCTCCTTTAGCTTTATGTCCATCTTTGCTTGGTTGGCCTGTATCTTAGGTTCCAACCTTGCCCATAAATCTTTCATTTCCTCTTGGTCCTCTTTCCGGTCTGTGTCTATCCTGAGCAGCATGTCTTGCATGTGCTCTAAGTCAGCTTTTCTATCGGCCTCTAACTTGTCTTGGTTGGTTTCCATTTTTGCCATCATTTCTTGCATGTGTTCTTTTATAGTGGCGTTCCTTCTGGCCAGCTGGAGTTCCAGCGTCTGTTGTATCTCCATAATATGGTGATATAACTACAAGATGCAATCGTAAATCCAATTTGAACAATCTGATTCAATCCATACCACTTCTAATATCAGTTGTCACGTGTCATAGTGACTAAGATGCGGGTTTGGGTTGGTAATTGCATTTATTGGATACTTACATGTCATAACTACAGTTAATTATTACACTACTCTGCCTTTACACAATGTACAATCACTCCATACTAATCTCGTCAGTCTATCCGCACCAGTCTTCACTGGTTTATAACACAGGAACTATAACAGTCTCACTGAATCACACACTTCAGATATTACACATAAATACAGTCTTCTAATCACACGTAAAATCTTCACAGGCTGACTTCTAGTTCTTTTTCAACTATGAACTTCCCATGGCTATCTCCTTGCTTGCTTGTTCACGTGCTTCTGCCGCTATTATTCATAACTTATAACTGCTTTAATTATGTAGCCGAGGAAAGGACATGAGCCTGTAGTAAACCCATCATGTGATCCAGCCAGCCTATTGGCATGTCTGTCAGATCTACAGAAAACACATGTCACATGATCACTGTCCACTGTTGTGACGTCACCGCAGACACGGAAAAAAGCTTCCTCTATTGTTGCATGTTGGATCATGTTTACAGAGCTGTTGCCTGGCAATACATTGATTAAATCCATTTCAATAATATAACTTGACACTCAACCAAATGCCAGCATTGTTTTCCACAAATGTGTGGCATGTCAATTAAAATTTATATGCATGAAAGAGTTTGAAAAATGGTCAGTAGATTTTCATCAAATTTTATGTATGGGAGTTTTAACTAAGAACCTGATCCAGTTTTTTCAAAAGTTGTACCACAATAATGGACACTTTATGTGAGTATCTACATGTCATTCTGAGTGCCTCTTAAGCAAAAACTCGTAGATATTTATCAGAGTAAAAACTATTTTGAACAAAAGTTGTGAAGAAAAGGAAGTACAATCTCTCCATGATATGTTTGACTTGGCTACCATCCATACATACAAACAGCATAACAACTCTTCGATTTTATTCTGATTTATTCACTTTTGTCTTCTTATTTGTGGATGTGTAATTTATTATTTACTGTTCATTTATAAAGTAAACTGCATTCAGTAGCATAGGTTAAATAGGATGTTTTGATAACCTTAGGCCTCAACTGCTGCCAAATACATTATTTTGTATGAGAAACTACTTAATGTATGAAATGGGCTTAAGAACTCTTTCGTAAGTCAAAGATCAAGTATCCATATCTCATGCCCAATACACGTTTTCTGCAAGTTTTACAGTGTTTCAGATAGTTGAACTGAATGAATGCATCAGAATTGTTACACTGTATATTTCCACACTTGTTCAGTATACTTACGTTTTGATTTGTGTACTGTTGAATTCTCCACACTTTGCCCTATTACCTTAGGGTTTAGTGCACTCGCATTGCAGTGCAACTTGCACCTTGTATGTAACTTTGAATACCACTATTTCATGTTTATCGATGAAGGAAGGTTTGCTTCTCCGTTTGTCATTTTTACTGATAGCTGGTTGAGGCACTATGCTACGAGATGGAAGGTCACAGGTTCGATTCCTGATGAGGTCATTGGATTTCTCAATTGATCTGATGCTTCCACCCCTGGCCCTGGGGTCAGCTCAGCCTCTAACAGAAATGAGTACCGGGAATCTTCCTGGAGGTAAAGGGCAGCTGGCGTGTAAGGCTGACAGCCTCATGCCATCTGTGAGCCAATTTTTTGGAAAGTGTGGGAGCCTCAACATCTCACAACCCTATGGGCTTCTACAGCCTGTTACAAGGATGAGTATACCTTTTCTACAGACATTTTTTATTATCTCAAAGTCATGGTGCTGAACCAGCTTCTCCACAAATCTTATTATTTCAGAACATCCCATAACCTACCTGGAGCCCATGGCATCAATCCAGCCCATTGCCTTGGGGAAACTGAAGGGGTTGATGTTGACTGCGATGATAGTCAGCTCATCCATGTACATCTGGAATGGGGAAATGCTGCATCCAAAAAAAACAGAATTGTGTGGTCAACAAAGAAATCACAGGCACCTTTTGTATACACTTTCCTTTAGTATGTCATATTATACCATATCTAAAACATATGTGAATGTGTGTCATTCTAAGATACTGGTGAAGACCATCATCATCAACAGAAAGGGACTGAACTGGTACAATAATTAATAAATCCAGTTACCAATCCAAACCCCATGTCTAATCACTGAACATTCTAGTGACCTAGTTAATCTCCAAAATCTGTTCTTCAGAGTTTTGCTTCAACCTGTGGGAACATCCCACATACTAACGCGTGGTTTCGCTGGACTAACAGACAGCACTCACTCCTATTCAATATCACATTGCCTCACATTCAGAGTCAAAGTCAAAGTCAATCACCCTCTGTGGGCGATCGATCACTCTGATCTAATCATTGCCGCACATTGCTACCACCACTCGTATTTATACATCACTCAATGTCCAGCCCACCTGTAGATCATCACGTGCGCTAGCCAATCAGTGCTCACAATTGCTACTACAAGTTTAAGCTCCACCCAGCAAGCATGGTATAAAAGCAGAGCCCAAAGCTCACAATCATCAGTGGGTCTGCGATTTGCACATGGCATTCAAAATCCCTTACATATATGATTACATAACAAAATTATGCAGGCAACAAGCAGAAGTCATACAAAATCATGATAATGAGAATGTTCGCAACATCGGACAAGGCGAAGCCCGACACAGAAAGTATAAGAGGCTTAAACTTGGCGGCGGTCAGGCATACGACCGTTCAAGTGACTATACTGCCGTGGTAGCTAATACTACTAGGAAATATATATATATGTATATATAAGGGCATAATCTGCTGTACCTAGCCTGGACTGACAGAGNCATGACCTTGACCTTGACCTTGCAATCATCAGTGATCACATTCAGTTCAGAGCGATCAGTCATCAGAGTCATCAGCTCATGAATGTGCCAAAGACAGCTGCCGCAACTCTCCAGCAACCGCGCTCTGCTACCAGACAGCTAACGTAGCTGCCGCAAATCTCGAGCAACCTTGCTCTGCGACCAGGCAGCTAACATAGTTGCCGCCACTCTCCAGCAATCGCGCCATAGGCAGCTGTTCCTACAGGCGCACGGAGCACCACATTACCAGCTGGACAAACCAGCTGAATGGCTGTAAAGACGGTAAAGACTTGGTCTACTACAAAGGAGCAAATTCTACCAGCGCACTCACAGTGGAACAAACTGCCCTTTTCAGGGCCAGCCAACTTTTGACATTCCACATAGCTTTGCAGCTATTCTGTACATTCAATTTATACAATTTAATATATACAATTGTTACAGATTTATGTGGTTTTCTTTTAGAACATTGACAATCCCACAACCCATTGTCACTGTGCACATGCCTTTGTGGTCTGCAGACAAATTCTTTCAATTTATAACGACCCTATAGTATTTGCTGTGTTTAAAGGGTTAAAAATTAAATAACACAAACTCCTGATTATTGTGGTACCTCATCATCTAATATATAGCAACAATAGAGCAAACAAAGATCTTTCTGTAATGTGCCAACTAATTTTGTGTTTCGTTAACATCAAAACAACAGCCAGCATAATGTAACATGAATCCAGTGCACATTATAACACAGCAAACTTTCTTAGGTATGTGTTGTACAATACACTTCTGTCATCTGAGTGGCAGCACCTTATCATCTGATCCAGATTACACACATGCATTTCACACCGTGTTTTCTGCAGGTACAGTCTGATGTCATGCTGGATAATACTGTATGTGGAAAAGCCACAGTATAACAGCTCCTCTGTAAGGAGTTACCTTATTCTGGCTTGTGGTGATGTAACGCCAAAAATACACATTTTTCCTCCAGGGCTGATGAGTAGCAGGGCCTCTTCCATAGCGGGGGCGTAGCCACTACAGTCGATCACCAGGTCCACACCCCAGCTTGGGTCCTTGGCTCGGTGAGCCTTTAGTTCATCAGGTGTGATGATGTCAAAGTTGGTCTCTAAAATGAGCAAATGAAACACATTGCTTTAATTGCTTGATGGTGGGCTGATATTCCACTGGACACTGTACAGGAACACAAGCTGGTCATTGTGTCTGAGTTGCTATGTTTACGTAAATAGTGCACTTGATTACAGTGGACTCCTCTTCCCCATACTGTATACCTTTGGCTGTTTCAGCTCACCTTTTATGGTTTTTTAGCAGTAGATGTGAAGTGTGTCCATTCCATTTTAAATGTTTAAGCCTGCCCAGTGAGGATACAACTACTGTGCCACTAGCAAAATTTGTAAACCAACACAAGATTGTTTTATGAAATGTGTAACAAAGACGTTTTGAATACAGCATCTCTTTATTTACTATGATTTTACAGATTAAATTTGAATTTGAACAGTTGTGTCATCATCAGAATTTTAACTTTTAACCCGTTCAATTCCTATTCCAGAAGTGAGTTCTTCAGGCCGAAGAGTTTTGTGGTTTTCATTGACTTTCCAGGCATGTAACTTGCCTTAAAATACCTGGGTGTAGGCTGTAACAGCTTCCCTCCACATTTTTTAAGTCATCATCCATAAATCTTATGCCATTTGCAACTACACAATACAGAAAAATAAAAATGGCTGTATTAGGAAATGTAGAATTGTTCTCTTGTTGCTCACCTAAGTTCATCATGAGTTTTCTGCGTGCCTCTTGCGGCTCACTGACGATCACTCTGCGATGTCCTTGAAGGTGCAGAACACTGGCCCACAGGTTGCCAATGATTCCTGCTCCAAGGATTAGGATTCTGGAGCCCACAGGAATGGGAGCAATCCGATCCCACCCATGCGATATACATGACAAGGGCTCTGCAAGGACAGCTGCAAACATTCATCACACTGCGTCTAAGGGTACTGAGTGGGTGCTGAAAATTTTTAAGATGGATAATCCTTCAAAGGTTACTTCAACAAGCCTGTGCTTGCTACAGGGAATGAATACATAAAGGTTTCAGTTGAAAACTCTTTGGATTCCTATTTTAAGAAGCCTCTGCCACTCAGATCCAGTGAGAGAAAAACACTGAGTCTCAATCTCCCAATCAACCAAACTTATATTGCCCCCTTTTGTCCAGTAATCGTTCCTCCCCTCAGAGTACAAATAATGTAGTAGGAAAGAGTTGAACTTTAGTGATACAAATTCTTAAAATGTATTTTGTTTTTGTATTGAACGTGTGTATTCATTTGTTAACAAATGTGTGTAAAAGCATGTAATTAGTGTTTTACTTAACTTTCCTCCATTTTCTTAGTCACTTCTAATTTTAGCATATGAAATAGGTTTACAGCAATGGAACTGCATTTTATAACATTGTGCTTGGGCGAAACTAGACTTACAGGTTTCCAGGAACCAATTTGGTTTTAAGTGCAGAAGTTGCCTATACTGTCATCTGAGATGTTAGGCCTTGAAGACTGGCAGATGCTTACCTATGTTTCAGAGAAATTTGCTGCCTTCAACATTTTACTCTGAAGGTGGAGGACGCAGGTTCATCTGAATGTTTATAACAATCTACCAGACTACAGAGGATCATATGCCAGAAGACAGTAATCGCCATAGTCATGGCAGTGAGAACCTCTTTCTTTTTTAATGCTGGTGGGGTGGGACTAAGTCCCTTGTACTGTGGCCACTTCTGGCCTATTGTACCAGCCCCAGATGATAGGTGAGGGTGATTGTGGAGCAATTGGTGGAGTGAAGATTGGCAGGGGAAACCGAAGTACTTGGAGAAAACCTGAACCAGCACCACTTTGTCCACCACAAATTCCACTTGACCAGAACCGGGATTGAACCTGGGCCGCCACAGTGGGAAACCAGCGACTAACCGCTTGAGCTATGGCGCAGCCTCTAAAATGAAGTGCCAACAACAGGTGTTGTTCCCAAGCAGTCGCCCATCCAAGTACTAACCACGCCCAATGTTGCTAAACTTCGGTGATCGGAAGAGAACCGATGTTTTCAACATGGTATGGCAGTTGGCCAGTGTGAACCCTCAAATCTCATGCACGTTTGTGTGTCAATGTGTTGTCCTGTTCCTTATCCATAAGATTAGATAGTGTGACTCTACCTTGCTCCAGTGTGATATGATGAGGAACCTTGTGCACCTGCTCGGCAGCCACCTTGCAGTACTGAGCCCAGCCACCATCCTTCCATATTCCAACCGTGTTGTTGATTCCTCCCACCTTGCAGAGGTGGTAGTTACCCCCGTGACACAGCTCACAATAGTGGCAGCCGCTGTGACAATCACCTCGGCATTATCAGAACTGTGACTCCTCTAAACAAGATCATTATCCCTTCCATATGTTTTTTTTTATGCTTAGATTTTTTTTCTTTCTTTGAATTTTGCGTTGTATTCTGCTAAAAGGCTGTTTCTGATTTGTTCTGAAATGCTGTCGATGGTATCTCAGCCTATATAGCATTGAATGGCAGATGGGTGGATAATGAATTGGACAGGAAGTAGTCATGGTCTAGTGAAGGTACTACCCTGGGGTTATTTAGGAAAATGATGGAAACCTGAGTCAGGATAGCAGATGTCGAGCTAAGACTTGAAATGGGGACTCCTGAATAGAAGTCTGAAGCATTACCACTGTGCCATTCTACACAGTTTTGAAATGGATGGAAAATACAGAAATGGGACATGGTTGAACATTGAGGAAGAGTGCTGAAAGAAGTCTTGAGAGACCTTTTTGTTTCATGTGTTACATCTGTTCTTAAGTTAAATATAGAAAACTCTTCCTGTTCCTCAGAGTTCACTTGAGATATAACAATTGAATGCACATGTTGCTACAGTTTGTATTATTCATGCCACTGCATGCATAATTCTTTTACTGTACTGCCACATTTTGCAACTGATATTATCAATAGAGCACTACATTTTCAGTCCCAGATCCCTCTATATGAGGAGTGAATCTATTTATGATTAATGTATCACTTCAGATTTGTCAGGGCAGTGCAAAAGTATGTGAAAAAAGGAGCAGCTTCATTTAAAGGATGCCTTATCACATCATGAAGTTTTTTTAAGATATAGGATTACCACTTCAAAGAATCACTAATGTTATTTTCCTTATCCCAAGGATAAGGCTAGTTAATTCAGAAAATGGTGACAGCCATTCACACTGAATGATACAGAATAATGGATTGGAAAGGATGTGGTAAGAAGTGGCCATAGCTGAATTTTAGGTACTTCTCCAGCATTTGCTGGAAGGGCAAGGAAAGCACAAAGAGCCTCAGTCAGGATAGGTGGTGTCCCAGCCAAGATACAGGCCACGCACCACCTGCAAGAAGAAGTCATGCACATCCACCAGCTTGCACAGTGCTCACTATTCGTGCTAAGCAGCAGACTTCCAGGTCAGGGCTGTGCCATGCATCATTAATCAATTGTAACACCTTGAGAAAACATCCCTTACTTCAGCCACACAACGCATACTACAATGGTATTGTGTCATACACACATTTAACTTACATGAATTCAATATGTGCTCACCAGAAAAAAGAAACAATAAAAATTTAATAGTGTGGGTGGTTCTGCACTCAATAAGATTAATCCCTGGCTTTGCCTCAGTTCAGCATGCCTGAATATGGGTATTTTTGTANATGGACTGCATAGAAAATCACACATCCAACTGTTGCAGGTGGTGTTTTCTCTGTGGTCTGTCCTGAAGTTACGTAAAAAGGACACAGCATGAGAGAGAGTCAAATCAGTTGTATGACTCTCAGAACTGTGAGAGAGTAAAATATGGTCATGGGTCCCATGGAACTCGGAACCAAGAATGACTGTGCTAGCAAGGGCCAGCAGCAAGTTACTCAACCCGACAGGCAGCAAGGTGACCTCATATGCCCCTTTTTTAAAAAAATAAGGAAATTGGGCTAAAAAACATGTATTGTATGGATGATTTAATGGATTTCCAAGGGTACTTTTGACTGTGATTTTGGGTTTACGTGCCACCTTTACAATGTAAATATCATATAAGATTCAACTCCACTGTATATAAAATTCTCAGTTTTATTCTGTATACTTGGTTTATTTAGGAACACTATCAGTAATTCAGACCCTTATGTCAAATAACTGGATGATGAATGAGTAATGAATTGGAAAGGATTTGGTAGGATGTGGTCATGGCATAATTTGAAGTACTATCCAGGTGGTTGCTTCAAACAGTTGAGGAAACCCACAAAGACAAGCCTTAGTGAGGATAACCAGTCTGCAAGCTGAGCCTACTGACATCAGAAAACTCAAGTAAAAGCCAACATATAAACGTGTAGCATAGCTTCTCATCTTATTTCTTTCCATGCCCCCAGATGAACCGAGTGACCTTCACAATGAGGCAACATTTGTCCCTGACCCCAGAGATTACGAAGTCTGTTTTCTTTGATGTGTGGCAAATTTCAATTCTTACCAGTGTGTTCCATGTCAGTCTCATTTAGATTTTTCCACAGTTGCTGTACTATCCCCTGATATGTCTCCCTAAGAGAATCAGTCTTAATGAGATCATCATGCTCTAAAGATTTCTGAGAATGTTTTATTTTACTATATCAGTTTATGTTAATGACTGATTTTTGTGGGACACAATTGATATTCATGTTATTTTAGGAGTTGACTGTACTGCTGTCATCAGACAATTGGTTATCATTACAACAGATTTTTATTATCTTTTATTCTGTTGTTAGTAACCCTCAGTCCTAGAGGAGCGAACTCTCAAAACATACCTTAAACAATGAACAATGTGAACATAATATTTATATAATCACTGTGTCATTCTTTGTGTCCTCTTTTTAGCTGTTAAATAATATATATATATATATAGAGAGAGAGAGAGAGAGAGATTGAAATATGGGCAGGAAGCCATGATTTGTAGCTCCTTTACATTTGGCAACACTGTTTATCATATGGATGGATTATTCAGCACTCTTATTATTTTCTGACCTGTTTGGATCCACAGCAACATGGTCACCAGGTTTCAGATGAGTGACCTCTGGCCCAACAGCAGATACTACTCCACTGAACTCATGTCCCAAAATGACAGGATCATCACGACAAGGGAATGCTCCCTGGAAGCAATGACATTTATGTCAGGATTACTGGGTTTTTGGACTTTGTGCATCATCTGGTATTCTAAAAACATGAAGGAATACAACGTTTCACATTTCTCCTGTTTTCTCGTACTGACAAAGCCTGATCTCAGGTGTTTATATAGCTGTAGTTATACTGATAGAGGTTGTCCAGTGTGATTGAAGTTAGCTCTTTCTAATGGACCATCTAGATTAGGTGTCTCACACCCCTCATCTGAGGATGGAAACAGATCCAGTTTCTGAGACATTGTGTTCTTTTGTGTTTTTATAATACCAGGCAATGGCCAAAATTTAAAAGCCCAATAATCCTGAGTGTTATATGCCATTGCCAGAATCATTTAGAAAATACCAATAAGGATATGTGTTCTGTGAAATTGAGGTTCAGGAGCAGGGTGACTATGAAAATTACTGTCTTATGCAATGTGATGCAGTGTGGCCTGGTAGATCAGTATCAACGTTTCTGTGAATCTTCTGCCTCCATCTTCAGGGTAGAAGAGTCTTTCTCTTACCCTGAGAATGGAAGTGGCAGGTTTTCCCAAAATGTTGATAAATATATACCAGACTAAGTCATAACATCCCAGATGACAATCTGTAGAACATTCAACAGTCATAAAATACAAGCATTCTGCAAAGGTAAGTTGTTATTGATAAGGAGTACATAATTATCAGTATACTGCAGCTCTTCCAAAAGTATAGTTATTATATCTGTATGTTTGTATGAAGTTTACAGTTTGAGATAAGTTTGCATCACTGACAGTTAAGGGTTTTATCTTCATAAATTTGATCATTTTATGAGTTTATTATGGGTTCTTGACAGGAATGTTTGTGACTTGAAGGGAGAAAACACAGTACGTGGAGAGAGACCATAGAAATATCATGCACTTGAAACTCATGTAAATTCTGTGCAATGTTATACTCAGTATTTTAAGTCAGTCAGCCTTTCAAGATTCATTTTTCTGCTACATGCAGTTCACCTTTCTGTCAGAGACATACCAGGCCTTCAGTACATAAAAAAAATCTTTACTATAACAAGTAAAGTGCTGAGTCAGAGATGAAGTACCCTACTTAAAGTCTGAGGATGTGATAATGTGCTTCCTAATTAAGTTTATCACACATCTCAGGGGGCAACTACAGATGAGTATGGAGGAATGGTAGAATGTTGATTAGCAGAAGAAATCTGAAGAAACTCATTGGGAACCCTGTTCCATTACCATTTCATCACAAATATTGAATAAAATCAGCTAAAATTGAATCTGAGAAGCCAACATATAAGATATAAAAGTTTCTGATGATGGTATATTGTACAATGATTGAATTTCTGGACATTATCCATGACCAGTTTGTATTTAACCCTTCAGTGTCATAGTCCCTCGAAGTCCCTACCTGGGACACGTAGTGCAGTACTTAGTTTCAGCTCATATTTTGAACCGTTGTTCTTCATATAATTTGGTATGAAATTAAAGAGGAAATTTCAGGTTATCATTTTGTATATTCATTGTCCCACTTTGAACTTCGGAGTTGTAATACATTTGAATTCTTTGAAAAAGTTTTCTATTTCAACACTCGGTGCGCTAGTTACCATACAAACCTTGGTGAATTCTTATGAATTGAATATCGATACTGTGTGCTGGCCCGCATGCTGATCGAATGAAAAGTCGATTCTCTTGAGGCACATTCTGACCAGTGCTGCTTCTAGATTGGAATTTGTAACCACGAGAAAACACGCGGATAATCGACGTCTAACCGTCTAAGACTGTGAGACGTGATGTTGACGATGTTGACTTTAAGGAGTGTGTTATGACTGCTATGTAGCAAACGATAAACAGTTCACTATATATAGGGCCGTCATGCACACACAATTTTGCCTCCCTTTCGGCCTGCACAGTTGAAGACTGAAAGGCAAAACTCATGTGTGTGGTTCGGCCTGCCGACGAATCGTTTGGACTGTTGGACTGTAGGAAATAGTAGGAAAGGCCGCGCCATAGCTCAAGCGTTTAGTCGCTGACTTCCCACCGCGGCGGCCCGGGTTCGATCCCGGGTCTAGTGAAGTGGGATTTGTGGTGGACAGAGTGGCGCTGGGGCAGGTTTTCTTTGAGTACTTCGGATTTCCCTGCTAATCTTCATTCCACCAATTGCTCCACAGTTACCCTCACCTATCGTCTGGGGCTGGTACAATAGGCCAGAAGTGGCCGCATTACAAGGGACTTAGTCCCACCCCACTAGCAATAAAAAAAAAAGGTAGGAAACCCATCAGTTCTAGCTGCAGGACGTAGCACGTGACAGGCGAACACACGTGTGTGACGTTATCAGCAGGCCAATCGCTCAGTTGGTGGTTGCTGCTGCTTTCTAATGTTCTTCACTACTGTTTCGCGTTGTGTGTCATTTCTTAAGGACGGGGTATTTTGAAACTTGCACCGTGATTTTGTAGTTTGTGCTATGGCGAGGTATTTCGTGGTCATCCTTCTATTTAGAAGGTCAAGAGCAAAGAATACCACAACCGTGAGATGAAAGAGAGTGCTTATTCAGCACTGAGGGAAGAAGTTAAAACAGTTAATTCCCAAGCTAACAAGGAAACGACTGAAAAAGATCAACAATCAATGTAGCAATTTCAGAAAGGAGCGGAAGAAAGTATTGATGGCTAAGAAATCTGGAATGAGTAGCGAAGACCTCTATGACCCGAAATTGTGGTACTTAAAGATGTGTGACTGTGGCATGCAGCCTGCCGGTTTATCCGCGCGTATATGGGGAAGGAAAGGGAGAGGGCAAACTGTAAAAGTTTTGCCTGTAAGGTCGATCGGAAGGCCAAACTGTGTGTGTATGGGGGGGCCTATGAATGACACAACTGTAATTCCATTTTGTTCCATAAATACGCATCATCTAGTCTGGTTAGCCAAGGCCTAGAGCAAGGAACGAAATGGGCTGGTATGTTTATCATGACCAGTAGAGAATATATTTACTTAAAACCGAATCAGTACAAAATTTTATCAGATTTGGAATTAGACTATGAAAATAGATGTTTGTGCTTTTCTCAGTTCTGTGGTGAATGACAGAATCGAGAAAAGCACAGACATCCATTGGGAGAATATGCAAAATTATATATGGGACAAAAGAAAATTTCTGAATGCGATGATAACATGTAGGAATAATACAAGGAAAAGAATAGATCCAGTTGTCAGTCAGAATTCAATTAATTGCGGGACTCTCTATTAAATATTCTAATGCTGGAGAACATAAGTGCCGGGTCGACCTTCGTCAGACAAAACAGTGCCCAAAATAAGAAAGAAATTTTATAAGCAAGATTCCACTGCGAAAAAATCAAAACCACAAAAACAGCGTGTTGTGTGTCAAAAAACTGTACTGGTGTGATGCGTCTGGCGTGGGACTCTGTGTGGAATGTTTTCACAACTAACACCCAGCTGAATTTCTGAGGTAATATTCCTAATTTGATAGGCTTACTGTGCCAAAGAAAATAATTTTAAAGCAGTGTGAATCAATACACTTTATCTATATACATTTCTGAACTTAGTGTGAAAATTAGAAAAACAAAACTACAGTTTTTTTCCAATTTATCATACTTTAAGTGAAATGTTGCGTTTACCGTTTTAAAAAATTAAAGGAGCAAGTAGGCATTAAATGTCCTGTGTCATTGAAGTGAAGTTGTCAGTACAACACACACAGAGTGGAAAAACCACTGTCAAATTCACACCTTGCCATTCCACACACACTGGCAAGCCATATCATCCAGACTTGACAAAGGCTTATGATGTGATAGACCACAATGTATTACTAGATAAATTAAATTAGTATGGGATCAGAGGGGTTACTAATTTATGGTTTAAATCTTATTTATCTCACCAAGTACAATTTGTTGAAATAAATCACCTGAATAAAAATATCATCCAAAATACATATATATCACCCTTGACAGAAATAATACATGGGGTACACAGGGGTCAATTCTGGGACCACTACTGTTTCTTCTGTATATAAATGATCTCCCATTAAATGTACAAGGTGCGGAAATGGTGTTGTTTGCAGACGATATTAATGTACTGGTTATGGACAAAGATAAAGATGTAGCTCAACAGAAAACATATAAGATCATGAAACAGCTTGAAACATGATTTCAGGTAAATAACCTTTTAATAAATATTAAAAAACAGCTGCTATGTCATTCCATCGTAGTAAAAATACGTTTGTAGTTAGACCGCAGATACTCTATAATAACTTGGAAATTGCTTACTCATCGGAACTGAGATTTTTAGGTATAGATATTATAGAAAACCTTAAATGGAATACCCACATCAAGTCATTACGTTCAAAACTTAGTAAAACATCCTATATGATTAAATCACTAAGAGGATTTTTGAGTCCAAATATGTTAAGAAGCATTTCAGTTGTTTTTGAGATATGGAATAATATTTGGGGGGGGGGGGGAAGGGGATAGTATAAAGGTATTTAAAATGCAGAAGAGGGTGCTGCAAATAATTAGTGGACTTGGTAAACAAGAGTCATGCAGGCAAATTTTTAAAGATTATGGCATCCTCACGGTCACTTCTTTATATATCTTAGAGGTGTTATGTTACATAAAAAAGTACAAAGCAGATTTGCTACAAAATATAAATATTCATAGTTATAATACAAGAATAAACAAGGATTTTCATGTTCAGTTCTGCAGAACTACATTATTTAAAAAAAGTGTGGTAAATATGGGGATAGAATTGTATAGTAAGGTGCCAAACAAAATAAAAAACTCGGTGGGTTTTCCGGCTTTTAAAAAATACTTAAAATTATATTATTTAAACCTTCTTTTTATATGATAAATGAATTTCAGTTTTAATTAAAAATTGAATGGTGCAAGTACTTATGTTTGGCTGTCATAGCCATTCAAGAGCTCCATATAGTAGTTTGTATATTTTTTGGAATGTTGTATTTATATATTGCTTATTATTGTAACAAATGTTTTTGCTTGTAACTTTGTAGAATTATTGTGTTAACTGGTATTACTGAATGAAATACAATACAATACAATTATAAAATATTAAAATTCATAACAAAAACGGATATCATACATACTGCTACACTTACAACAAGCAAGTCTCAACAATGTATAATTCACACACACAGGCCATTTATTAACTCTTAACTTTTAAGCCCCTTTCATGCTCAACAAATTCATCAATAGAGTAAAATGTGTTACGTTGCAAATAATTTCGTAAAACAAAGCTAAATTACTTTTTATCGTTTTTTTAAAACTGTGATGTTTGACGGCAGAGTGTTAAATAGCTTGACGCCTGAATAATACACCCCTCTCTGATAGGATGATAAATGTGTTGAAGGTATATGAAGGTGGTCATTCCTTCTGGCACCAATCACACATATACAGAGTTATTGGTTTGAAACTTATCCAAACTATTAACAACAAATATCATCAATAAAAGCAAATACACACATGAAATTGGTAGAATGCCAAGCTTTTTAAATAAATCTCGACATGTATGAGTTGGGCCCACTCCCATCATTATTCTTATTATTTTCTTTTGTATAACAAAAACCTTATGACTGTCTGTTGTATTTCCCCAATATATTATTCAGCTTTAAGACTATTTATATTTTATATATAGGATAATTTTCGCATTAGAAAACCAACTGTGCTCAACTTGTGAGGCAAAAAATCGATAGTACCAATAAAAGGCAGATTCGTATATAAATCAAACACAACAGAAATCTTTTGCAGAAGTATTTAAACTCAAGTGCACAAGACCTTGTACCTATGGCCATTTGTAATATAATGACCAGAGTCTATAGAACCAAAGAAGCTGAAACCATTGAGGATGAAGACAGAATCTAGTCCCTGAAAAGTTTCAAATAAAAATATGATGATGGCTAATGTCCAAAAAGTCAATCCTTGCAGCATGTAACTGCCTATTAAAATAAGATGTCAGCCCCATAAACCCGCCACATAATCAATGATACAAGTGTTGGACAAGTGTGTTGTCATACCTCAGCTATATGAAGATCAGTTCCACAAATTCCAGCATAAGCAACCTCCACAATTACCTCATTCTTGATAGGTTTGATGGGGTAAGGTGCTTTAATGAGCAAAATCTGTTCTTTCTTTCTGTCAAACTGAATAGCTTCCATTGTGTGGGGTGGCATGTTTCCTGAAACATAAAATATGATTTCTAGATTATTGATGCCAGATAATCTTAGCCTGAACACGATTGTGGGCCTTCCTCTTGTTATATCTTTAAGTTAAAATATTTAGACTATATATTGCAATAAATATTCATTCTTTTATTCTAAGAGATGGTAAGGTCAGTCAGATATGTGAGGACCCACACTTCATTTCATTGTCAAAGGCCAGGAAATTTCCAAGTCTTGACCTGGGGCTTGTGGAAGCCTAAATGTGCCCCAGGCAACAAGAACATCTGTCCCCCTCCCCCTACTTAAAAAAGATAAATTTTATTAAAACTCCATCAAAATTAATAACATGGGTACTGAGGCCAAACCATTACCGATATTGCAGTTCTTAAACATGTTTACATTGTTGCATCACGTTTATATTACTACCAATTAATGGTCAGGATGTGAACAAATGAGCATTTGAAATTAATATTAAAATAGAAAGCAAGACAGAAAAAGGATTGGTAAATTGTGCTCCCCCTAAAATATTGTGGTTTTTATTTAATTTGTGCTGTTATCCTGGCCTTTTTTGACCTTATGTGCTTCAACTGCAAGATCAGGATTCGTTCATCTTTATTTTTTGTATGATGTATGATGCTGATGTTTTGACACACAGGCATTTGTGTTTGTGTTATACCTGAAGGGAAGGTTACCTAATTAGTGCACTATATACAGGTATCTTGATTGATTTGTTGAAGTATTTTAAGTAATCGTGAAACTTTTATTTTAGTGGGAAATAACATACATGTTTACAAATTCTGTACAAAACTTACTATGTCGAAAGAATCAACATGGCAGTTGCATTAATAATTTGAGTATATGTTGACAACTGTACTAGAAACCAGCAGGATGTCATCTGTTCCCTTTGTTTTGTTTTAATATTTTCCAATCCATGTTGGTTTAGAACAAATTGTTTAGTTGTCCAGGGACACACACCAAAAGTCAGGTAATTTCCCCCCAACTTCTTGCTTTCATCCTCATTGCTCTAATAGGAGAGCAAAGATTATAGTATGCTTCTTGTTTGGTAGATGATTTACTCAGATCCTGGCAGTGTATGAGCTATCCCTACAGGAGTATTTGTGGTCTTACACAGGAGCTACAGGACTTTTCCAAAATATTTGGCCCTTTCACATTTATCTGACTCCACATATAACTGCTTTCTCTCTGCCAGTGCTCTGTCATTGCACACGCACACACGCACGCACGCACTCTCTCTGTCTCTCTAAATTGCATGTGCAGTTACATCCCTTAGATGTAGAATTTGTCAGAAAATATGTTATGGAATATTTCAGAACATATGTAAAAATACAATACATACAATGGGTGCAAAAGTATTATACAATTGTAAAATAACTGTATAAAATAGAGGCCATCCTGTAGATTATAAATCACTTATAAACTTCTTATATGCATAAACATAATAAAAGCAGTGTGGATTTAAGCCCCTTTCTAAAGCAACTTTAAACTGTGCACTCTTACATTCATTCTGCTGATGATGCTATAAGATCAGTTATTAAAAATTGTTGATACACGTTTAAACCTAATTTTTCCGGAAGCAGGGGTGGCAGTTAGCTAATGAACATAGCTCTTGTTTCTTGTATTAACACTATGTATTGATATTTTTTTTAAATGATGCTGGTCATTCATAGTAAAGTTCACTAAGGAAAATCTGTACTCTCACATGGAAGGGTAGAATCTCTACTGTCTAAAATATACTTCTGTCTGAAATGTTACATGTTGCACTAAACATAATGACTTTCTCTTTTAAAGCAAGAAATCATTTTACTGTTAGGTGAATCCCCACCACTTACCCTGTACTTCATAATAGCATAAGAATAAGGGAATAAGTTGTTTTGAATATGGCAGTTGGAACTTTAATAGTGGCAACACTGCTGTAGAGATGCCATGCAACCGAACCAAATAATGTCGCTTATACCACACGTTAGTTACATACCTACCTTACCTCAGAGCAAATGGACTCTCCCTTCCCACATCACGCACATGCGCAGTGACAAGAACAGCCTCATGTCACCTGGCGGTCTAATGTAGTGTTGTCACGAAGTTTTCGAAACAGGAACAATGGAGTTGGATAAAGATTGAATGCGCAAGAGGCCGTACAGCACAGCAGTGTCATCAAGATCTTCAAGAGGCTTGCGGGGAATCTGTATTGCCTTACAGAACAGTGGCAAGGTGGGTAAAAGCCTTCAACGAGGGACGCCAAATTGTGACAGACATGCGTCGGCCAGGTCATCCTGGTGTCACTGAAGAAGAAGTGTATACTCTTTCCACGTTATTGGAGAGTGATCGACGCCATGCAATTCGTGAGCTGGCCCGACAGACAGGATTAGCGCATATGACTGTGCTTCACATTCTGAAGGAATGCCTGGGCATGAGAAAAATTACATCACGATGGGTTCCGCATGATTTGATGGAAATGCAGAAATGGTAAGCTGTGGCTGATTTGTTCGATCGATGGGGCTGGGAAGTGGTGTACCATCCACTATACTCCCCAGACTTAAGCCCTTCTGACTTTGATTTGATTCCTAAGATGGAGGAACCACTTTGTTGCATTCACTTCAGAACTGTTCCAGAGATTCTTTAGGCAGTAGACCTCTCCATTCAAACTATCAACACAACAGGCGCTGCTACGACTTCCACATTGCTGGCAGCGGGTTGTACACAATGCTGTGACTACATTGAAGGATAGTAAAACTTAAAAACATGCATCAATTTTGTATAAGTTGTGAATAAATAGTTGCCACTGTTAAAGTTCCAACCCTCGTATGAAACAGTGTTATTGCATAACATGATGCACTTAGCTTAAGTATCTTTTCTTCAGTATATTTCTTGAAATTTAGGTGTTATTACAGATATGCTAGGCTT